AAATTTTGGTCAATGACATGAGACAAAGTATATGTGAACTGCTGTATGAAAAGTGAATTTACTCTGTAAATCTTCACCCAAATCCTAATTAAAAAAAAAAAAAAAAGACCTCTTTCAATGCTGAGAGTAAAGATGTCTCTTTGAAGACTAAGGTGCTGGTAACCCAAGCCATGGTATTTTCAATCACCTCATGTATGTGAGAGCTGGACAATGAATAAAGAAGACCAAAGAAGAGTTGATACTTTTGAGTTGTGCTGTTGGCGAAGAATGCTGAAAGTACCATGGACTGCTAAAAGAACTAACAAATCTCTTCTGGAAGAAGTGCAGCCTGAATGCTCCTTGGAAAGGAGAATGGCCAGACTTTGTCTCACCTACTTGGTCATGTTGTAAGAAGGGGCCATTCCCTGAAGAAGGATATCATGCTTGGTAAAGTGGAGCATTGACAAAAAAGGGGAAGTCCCTCAATGAGAGGGATAGACACGGTGGCTGTAACGATGGGCTCAGATATAGCAAGGAGAGTGAGGCTGGCCCAGGACCAGGCAGTGTTTCGTTCTGTTGTTCATTCTATGAGTTGGAATTGAGTCAATGGTAGTGAGTTTTCTTGTTTGTTTGTTTGTTTGTTTGTTTTTACCCCCCAGCAATATGCTGGCACTTAAATGTGTTTATCTTAATGTGCTCACTTGCCAATGATGGATGTCTACGATCATTAGAATTTTTATTAAATTGAAGTAAATAATCTAAGAGAGGCCGGAAGAGATCTCCTACAGTTGAATGTATAAATCTTAATGCTGCTTTTGTCGTTCTTGGCTGTTCTCAATAGCTGAAGTCACTGGGTATAAGTTGGTAAGTTCAGAGCCAGTTTGACTGTGTACACATAATGCAGCTTTCTAGAGGTAGATGGTGTTTAGCTCGTGTTAATCAAACAATAAGCCTGTAGCTTTGACAGCTCACCCACGGTGTGCAGGGTATTACCCTGTGTACTCTGCAGGAGCCCTGGCCCTCAAGACACTTACAGCAATAACTTAGCCAGGTTTATGGTGACATCCAGATGCCTTGGGTTCATATCACCTTAAAGATGAAGGGAAAACAAAAAACCAACTGCTATCAATTCAATTTCAAGTCATAGCAACCCTATAGGACAGGGTAGAACTGCCCCATAGGATTTCCAAGGCTATAGATCTTTACAGAATCAGACTGCCTCATCCTTCTCCCATGGAGTGGCTCATAGAGACCCTATAGGACAGAGACCCATAGGGTTTCCAAGGCTGTAAATCTTTACGGAAGCAGATTGCCTCAGCTTTTTCCCTCAGAGTGGCTAGTAGGTTTGAACCACCAACCTTCTTGTTAGCAGTCAAATGCCTTAGGCACTGTACCACCAGAGCACCTTAGTTTTCTATTGAAAACAACCTATTCGGTTTTTTTTTCATTAAGAGGAAGATGATTGCTGCAGCCTAAGTGGGTTTTTTCTGGAGCTCAGTTACCACCTGCAGTTAAGTAGGGAGGCATGTCCTTGCCTGGAGCTAGGCAGCCAGGGACCACACTGGAAGAACAGATCATTTGTGGCATGGAAAAGCAGTGCAGAAAGCTCAGCAACAGCCAGCTTGAAAGAGAGAGCATGTAGGGGCAGGGATAGTGCAAGCATACATGTCCGTATGAGAAGGGAAAAAGCCCCTTCAGCATGTGGACGCCTGAGCTTCCTGATCCCAGGTATCCCGATGTAAGGAGCTAGCTTGGATAAAATCACCTGGTCCTGCAATGACAAATAGGTTTCCTCCTTGGTGCTGTCTCTGATTGACTCTACCTGGAGAAGGAATGGGGGGGGGGGGAAGCTTCCAGGCTCAGAAGGAAAGTGTGCTGTGATCACTTGGTGATATCTGCCATGGACGTTGGCTAGGAGAGGAGTGGAACTAGCCAGCCCTGAATTTTGGCTGACAAAATGTGATGGCACCTACTTGAATCTCCTCCTCTTCTTTGCATCTGCCTGACTTCTGAATGTTATCCCAAGGCTAATCCAGTGGGATCAAGTGTCCTTTTCCTGTCCCAATCACCATCACCAAGACATTTGATGCAGCAGAGCTTAAGGGGTCTCAAGAGTCAGTATTAACTCTTTCAGCTCCAGGCAGGTACAATTAGCTGGGTTTGAAATGCAGGTAAAGGGGGCCATGGCAGCCTCCTTCACAAACATTTGGCACCAGGTGATTATCCGCCAATGATTTTTTTTTTAAATTGTGATTTGGGTGAAGATTTACAGAGCAAATTCACTTTCCATACAGCAGTTCACATACACTTTGTCTCATGACATTGACCACAGTTTACCACAGTGCAACAGCTCCCCTCCCACTTCCTCCCCATAGTTACCTCTTCCCTTGCCCATCCCTCCATGCACTCCTGCCACCTGAGCTGTCTCCCTGTGAATAAGCAGCCCTTCCTTCTCCCATGATTGTTCTCTCCAAGGAGTGTGTCTACCTCAGGTAAATGTTCAACTCATATGCCTGTCTTTTGTTTCCACCAATAATTTTTAAACTGTGTTCTTCAGAACCTCAGATTCTGAAAGACTCCCTGCTTTGTCCTTGCACAATTCTGGGAGCTGGTGTACAGAGGTAAGAAACAAGACACAGGCCTTGTCTTCATGAAGTTGATGGTCCAAGACAGGTGATTTATGTGCTGAGTGATGACTTTTATGCTAGAGACTGCATGAGAACACCTAGCAGGGAGCCCCAGCCTGAGATAGGGCTAGGAAAGGTCTCCTGGAAGAAAGGAAGTTAAGCTGTGACCATGTTCTGGCTTTGGTTCTCCATGAACCCCAATCACATGTACATCCCCAACTCTTGTGGCCCAAGGACTCAGATAGTCTGACTCTGGTTTTACTCTCAGATTCAGGAGAAGCCTACCAGCCATGGTGTCTGAAGACCACCATTAGCAGCTATTTGCCACATGGTCATTCTCTTTATGACTTTGGGTCTTGTAGGGAATTTAAAAAGTCTCAAAGTAGGGACATCCTTCATTACTTCATCCCCTACTCAGGTCCTCACCAGCTCTCACCTGGACTATTGAGATAGCCTCATAACTTACCTCCTCCTCACCTCCACAGGATCCACCTCCAGAGTGTCTGTTCTAAATGCAGACCTCCTCTCCGCCTGACACCCCTCAGTGGCTCCTAGGCAAGGCTTCAGCCATGCATCAGCCCTTAAGGCTATCAGAACTTCTTGGGGTGGGGGCAGCACTAGTTTCATACTGTGCATTTTCTACCCAAAGTGTCTGAATCATCACACAATCTCATCCCATTCCATCTTCCCGGGGCCCAGGCAAGTATTTCTATTAAGGATGGGAATGTGCTGTATTCTTCAAAAGTGTTGCATAGAAAACTAAGAGGAGGCACCAGGGAAAGCCCCACTCCTTAGCCTGGTGTTCTGCGGCTTTAGAGTCTGCCCCTGCTTGTCTGTCTTGCCTGAGCTCCTCTCCCCAACACCCACGCCTTCTAGTCAGACCAACCTCACTAGACCTCCCTGAGGGCACTCTACTCTGCACTCCCACCTTTCCCTTTGCTCTTCCCCATGGCCTGCCCTGCCTTGTCCTCCTGGCCTACTCATCTTCCAGACTGAGCCGAGCTGCTCTCCACACATGGTCTTTTCCCTGCAGCACCCTGTGATGACCACACCCACAAGCTCTTATCCCACAGTGCCCCATTATGGGATAGTATGGCCTTTTGTGGGCTACCCTGGAATAGCATCCCCATGTGTGGCAATGGTTCTTTGGGAAAGTTGAGCCTGAATCCCAGTATATCGACTTGTTTCTATTACTAGAAGTTTCCATACATTTAATTGTAGAACTGTTTGTCCTCTACTTTTTAAAGAAAAAAGAAAAGTTTTCTTGAAATCAAGATCATTTCTGGATTTAAGGCAGTGACTAACTCCCACCCTTGGAGCCAGACAGACCTGTTTCCAGCATGACTTACCAATACCAATTACCATTCACTCACGGAGAGCCCATGTAGTTCCTGGTGGTGCCAATGGTAAAGCACTTAGCTGCCAACCAAAAGATTGGTGGTTCAAGTTCTACCTAGAGGTGCCTTAGAAAAAAGATCTGGTGATCTACTTCCAAAAAGTCAGCCATTAAAAACCCCGTGGATGGCAGGACTGCTCTGACACACATGGTCACCACTCATGGTTTAGGGCCTTATTAACTGTGTCACTTAGACTATGGCATCATTCTCTTTGCTTCAGTTTCCTCATCTGTAAAATAAGGATAACAATACCTATCCCATTGGTTGTTGCTTTGAGATAAATGAGAGAATATTAGCACTCGGCCTGGCAATCATTAACGCTGATTGGGAAGTGGTCAATCACTGTTAGCTATTATTATTAAAAATATATCCCTGAGTTCTTTTGTGATCCAAAAATAGCAACAGTTCTATTTGCTGGAGTGTGCCCATTAACAAGAGAGCTGAGACTAATATATTTTCCAAATGTTTTCAGCAAAACATCTAGTTAATTCATTCAACAAGCATATTCAGTGAATCCAAATAACCTATTTTCTAAGCAAGCTCATTGCACATATTGCACCTAGACGTGGTACATGATCTCCATTTGCTTCCAAATGCCTTTCCTTGTCCCCAAATCCCTCCTTCTTCCGGTATGGAGCATATCCTATATCTTAAACACCTACCTAACCCTACATCCTTCTCTCCCAATGCCTTCTGCAGGTCCCTCTCCCAGGATACATTGAAGCTTACCCCCGGTCACGTTATCAGCAGAACTCGCCCTCACGGCTCCCTCGCCAGTACAGCCAGCCTTCCAACCTGCACCCCAGCTTGGAGCAGGCCCCAGTGCCCTCCACTGCAGCCTCGCAGCAGAGCCTAGCAGAGAACGATCCATCTGACACACCCCTGACCAACATCTCTACTGCGGCCCTCGTCAAGGCCATCCGGGAAGAGGTGGCCAAGCTGGCCAAGAAACAGACAGACATGTTTGAGTTCCAGGTCTAATGCCTTGCCCCCAGGGGACTCTTAACTTCCAAACTTTGAGGAAACAGTCTTGGGGTTTCTCAAGCCTGACATGTTGGAACTTGTGAGAAGACAGAGTGAGTCATTGTCACCCTCTGTTTCTGATAAGGTGAACAGTGGAACTGCTGGGAAACAGAAAACTCTTGAACGAGTGGATTCTTGGCTTATTCAGCTGATCATGTGTCAGAAGTCCCTGTTTGGGACCATATGTTTGATATCCTGTTATGTTCAATGTATGAACCGTGGGTGTGTTTCCCTAAGGAGCCGTAGTCACAAGAGGCACTAGCTAATCTACAGATTCCTGTCCAGTGCCACATTGTAACACATCACCAGGGGGCAGAATCTAGCTCTATCTTCGGTGACCTCTGCATGTTAACTCTGTTTCTGTGTTAAAGCCAATGCTGGAGTGTGTGGATTAAGCACCAGACTATATTCTGTCTCATTCAGCCACATAAAAATCATCTCCAATCTGTAAGGGAGGTGCTGACTCCAACCAAGGAATTGGAGTCCTTTTCTTTTAAAAGTTCATGTTCAAAGTTAAATGAAGTGGATGAAGATCAGTACTATCAATGGCTGCAACTATAGATAGCCCTGACTCTCACCCTTCCTCCCCTCCCCATTTATTAAACAAAGGCCAAGTAAGAGAACATGAGAAAGGATATTGGATTTGTGCGGATGGGTTTTTGAAAAGCTGTTGTCATTTTGGAAATAGAATACCCTGCAAGTTGGGATCTAACTAAAGGAGAATCGGTGCTAAGAGCTTTTAGGATCCTACAAAAGAAAAACAGTTATGTGTGGAGGTGTCTCCCAGCCCTGCATTGAAGGTGGCCTGAGAATGGAGTGTCTGTCTTTTCTGGAATAATAGATACATTGGCTTTCACAAGAAAATCTCTGTCTCTTCAACAGTGATGTCCAGCATGTGCTGCCAAAAGGTACAAAAGGAAACAGTAATTGATGCCTGTAAGGGACCGGACGGGGGAGCCACAGTCTCCCTAGGCTGCAGCCAGTGTGTGCAGAAGCTTATGAATGTAGAACATCTATTGCTTTATGTTTAAATGTAAATAACATTTTTAAAAGTATATGGATTTAGCCAGATCCCCATAGTTAATGGACACAGAAGACATTTGCTGAAATAACTGGGTGGCCAACCTTATGACCAGGATGTCACAAATCATTCTCCCTGGCATGGGGAATTGCCTCCAGAGCTCAGGCAGAGGACATAACCTTGAAGCATTGAAGGCGCCAGTGGTTCACTGTCTGACAGAACAAACAAAACCATTACTGACTTTGATAGCAGAAAGGGAGGGAACGCTTTGGTTTCCTCATCAAATGTGGGAACTGTGTACAGTGTTGGGGCTTATTCGGTGTCTGCTGGAGAAGGAGGTCCTGTCCTGCCTTCATCCCATGATCCATTTAGCTTCAGCTGTTCCCATCCCCTTCAGAGCTCATCTTTCCATTCTCCTCATGAGTTTCTTTGGTCTTTACTAAGAGAAGGTGAAAATTTTAAATTTGAGAGAATAGGAATAAAACTGATTAGAATGGGAGACTCAAACTATCAAAGCACAGACTTTTCAAAGAAGCTATTTTTATTTCCTAATGGCAAATGCCCCTTTCTGGAAGGTACTGCAGATGACGTCTCATGGAATCCCCAGATGAGTCTCTTGTTCAGATGATGTTAGTTAGGTAGGTCCTTTTGGTATGCTGGTTGATCTTTTCATAGTATTAGTTTTTTGTTACTTAAAAAAAAAAAAAGAAATTCAGCTATAAATAAAATGTATTTTTGTAATTTCCATGTGTATATATGGTATATTTCTACCAATAGCCAGTTGTTGTAGTTCAAAACCCAAATCAGCTTGCAAAACACTGTGGACAGTGCAAGATTTCATTGACAGGTTAACACAATGCCTAAGTCTATCAAAATAGGCATGCAATGCACTTGAATGAACAAAGAGCCAAAGAAACTCAGCCTTTTCATGCAAATGGTATGAGTCTGATAAAGTTAATTACATTGTCCCACTTTATCAATAATATTAATATTTCATCAGTGCAATGATCTATCCAGTACTTTGTCTACTTGGTAAATGCCTGAAAATAGTGTATGTGAAAGCGAAGTGTCAAGACCTCAGTATAATTGAAATATATGTACATGCTTCAAAAGACAGTGTCTGGGCTTTGGATGTTCCAGTGACTCACAGAGAATGAGTCCATAGTTCACAGTGGTACAGCTCTAGCTTACTAAGAGAGTAGACCCACAAATGATGTGGTCTTCACAGAACCCCATGAGATATTGAGTCAGTCAACTGAGATGACTAAATAAGGAATACATTAAATCAGACACTCTGAACCTAGATACTGCAACTGTAAGAAAAATATGTGGGAAGAAAACCTTAATTTGAAAAGATATCAGTGTGTCCATGTTTTCCTACCAACTGGGAGACAGCTGCCATTGTTTTTTACTGACTGAGATGTGGTCCATTCTCTGAAGCATCTGCTAACTTCATGGAGGTGGCAGTTACCTGGACAGTGTACTGTGAGAAAAGGCAGATGGTTTAAAAAAAAAAAAAAAAAGTGCCTCATGGAAGTAAAAATAGAGTTCTATGAGAGCCCAGAGGAGGTGGCAATTAAATTGTGTTCATTATGACTCCCCAGAGTCATAGAAACCACAAAGGAAGGACCTTGGAGACTTCAGAGGAAGAAGCTGAAGTTCAGAGACATGGTGTAAGCTGCCCAAGGAATCAAGCCCAAACCTGCTGATTTGTTAATCCAACTTGCTTTCCATTTCACCATGCTGCCTCCATGCTTTTCTGTGACACACTTCTTTAACTGTGCTTTGATTTTTTTTTTTTTTAAAAAAGATACAAAGGTCATGTGAGGGACTCATAATGTTCTTGAGAAGATAAAAGATGATTGACTCTGTGAGGAACTTGAGATAAAGTGTGTAGAGTACAAATCATTTGTGGCATAATAAACACTTGTTGGCACTGCTCTTGATGTGATTCTTCTCTATTAAAGAAAAATAAATGCATTTTGCAAACTAGGCTTCTTCCAGAGAGAGCCATCCAAGAAATGGTGTTCTCAACTGCAGTTGATGATATGGAGATGTCTTCCTCTCTCAGGGCCATGGATCCAGAGACAAGAAGGATGTTACAACTTGTCACCATGAGGTAGCAGATCCTGCTCTGCATGGGGGGGGGGTGATGTTTGTGGTGGTGCAGGAGCACCAAGATCTGTTTTGTGACCTGGTGCTGTGAACTGAGCCTTATGCAACAAGGAGAGAGAAATTGTTGCCTCTGAAGCGGGAAGTTGCCTCTTTCAGGGTAGGTTATGTAAGAATCAGTTGTCTGGTCCTGGGAGATGTTATATTGTGTGTTTGTTAATTTAAGAACTCAGCAAAGGGCATGTCATTTCTGAGCAGTCTTGATAGTGCCATAGTTATGCAGTGCTGCTACCACAAATGCATGGCTTTAATAAACAGAAATTGGTTTTCTCAGTTTAGTAGACTAGAAGTTTGAATTCAGGGTGCTGGCTCGAGAGGAAAGCTTTCTCTGTTGGCTGTGGAAGAAGGTCCTCTCTCTTGAGTTCCTACTCCTGGTGATCTTTGTGTAGCTTGGTATCTCTCTTCCCCACACCCCAAGTCTCCTCTCCCTGGCTTCTTTAATCTCTTTTATGTCTCAAAGGAGATTGACTTACATGTACCCCACACTAATCTTGCCTAATTAACATAGCAAAGATAACCCATTCCCAAAGGGATTATAATCACAGGCATAGAGATTAGGAGTTATAACACATATATTTGGGGGACAGAATGCAGTCCATAACAAATGGATAGGAAATTGTTAGATCTGTCATTAGAAAAAAAAAAGAAAAGAACTCTCCTGTTAGAAAATTCAGATTGGAAGAAGTGAGTAATTTAAAGACCTGATTTTTTTTTTTTTTTCCAAAGAGATGTTTCTCTAAATTAGAGAAATGGATCAAATGATTTAAATATTGATTACATATAAATGAGCTACTCTTTTCTGCATAACGCACAGGCATTCAGTGTTTAATGAATAAAATAGATTCTATTTTTAAAGTTTAAGGAAAGGTATGAACTTAACCCATTCCTTTTATACTACACAATACACCGGAAAGTAAGTTAGACTTTCCTTGTAAAATACATCCAAATGTTCTTCATAAAGGTCTAAGTACTAGAAATCAAATTCTGCCACTTTTTCAACCTTGAAGATATTTTAGTCAAGGAACTTGGCAAGGGCCAAAGACCCACTCATACCTGCTCAAGTGTAGGGGTTGACTGAAAGAACACAGGGACATTTCAGAGAAACAGAAGACAGCTCCCATCATGGGAAAGGGGTCCAGCCAGCAGCCCTCATCCTTGTCCTGTCTCATATGCTCTCTCCACAAGGGTTTTCTTGCTGTTTGTCTCTGCATGGCTACTCAGTCTCTTACTTCCCTTGACCAACTAGCTTTCTCATTAGGATAAATGTAGCTGAAAATCCACCCTAGGACCCCCTCTACACAACGTTTCCTTTTCAGTGCCCACCACTCTGACTACATCTCTGGCTCCTAGGGCAGATTCTTAAGAATCGGGTTGATCCAGTTCATTTGCCATGAATGAGTCACCCCTGGGTCAGGTGCCCAGCCAAGCAAACTTTATATTGAAAAGATATCAATGGAAAGGCAGGGTCATGTAATACAAGCATGGCCATCCAGACTGGCCCTTCAGAGGAGGCTTTTGATGGGGCCTATGTGCAAGGAGGGAGCACAAGTTAGGCAAGACCTTCAAAAAGGAAACTGCTACAGTTGGAGTTGACTAGAACTCCTAGGATCCCACCCAGTAGCCGGTGCTTGGTGGGCAATCCCTGTGGATCCTACCACAGAGAGAAAGGGCATTTTTCAGTCTAGTATCAGGTGAGAACACATGCTCTTAAAAGCCTGGTAGATTTGGCTAGACCTGCCCCAACCACTTCTCTCCTCAGCACCAG